TTGCATCAGGGCTGTGACGAAAAATAAGTGGCCTAAATCCGATGAGAAAACCGGATTTGGGGGTACCCTAGGTTTGGCTTCTGAGCCTCTGGCCCCCCAGTGAAAACTCCTTAGAGGAGGCCCTGAGACAAATAATAATAAATTGTTTATGCAACCGAAGACAAACTTTTTTAATTTTACAAAATACCTTTCCTAAAAAAAATCCTTAGGGAAAGCATGAAAAGTAATTGTGGAAGAACACTTTTTTGACAAAGACTGATAAAGAAGTTAAGTTATAGAAGGAAGCAATTTAGCATTATATACCAGACACATACTTATTCTTACGATGATTTGGATATACAATAAAGTATCGCACAAAAGAATCGAAAAGTGAAACGATGTTAGGAGTTAGGATCCTCTATAATCCCCAAGGTAACTATTCCACGATTAAAAGGCATAATCAGAGTGAAAGAATAGCCACGATCCCGGCCGCATGCCGGCCGGGCACTTTGCTATCAAATTACCTAGATGGGTTCCTTTCAGACTCTGAAAGCCGCACCCACCAACACAAAAGGCTAATCGATTGATGGTCCGACTTTTCCCAAGTGGAGCGGTCGCTCTCTCTTGTCTCGCTTGCCGTCTCGTGACACCGCCAGCCGTGAGGCCGATAAATCGGGATAAATACGTCGATAACTGTGCCGTGACCCAGCAGATGACCCGTGACAGCAGGGCACAAAGCCACTTCCTGTCGCGTCTGGGTCAGTAAGGCAGCTGTCTGACCTGCAGAACCGGCACGGTGCGGTCATAAAAGTGACCTGCAGAGAGGCTATGAGGCCATCGCGTCTAGAATGCAACACTCAGTAATGACCGTTAAACTGCATAGAGCAGATAACTTTTATTCTGTAAATTTTCTTGCAGATCCGGTTGCGTCTGACCACTCTGTGTTTTGTGGTCAATGCACCGTTTAGATTGAATTGAAGGTTAATCTCGCCGTAAAAGTGGCGATGGTTTCACTGCGGCCCGCGGCGGACAGGCCTCCGGCCGCCGCTGACCGGTTTTTACCCCGGCGCCGGGTTCACATGGAGCAGCACTCCGGCAACTAATGCAAATCCTCATTGGTGGACGGCGGGGGCCAGGCACGGATGTCTCCAAGGTGAGATGCCACTGCCCTTCTCTCTGATGAGTGGTTCCCACTCGACCGGGGACCTGGGTTTCTGGGGAGACCTCGCATCATAGGCATCAAGGTGAAGTCTTATTTAGACGGATGAGAGATCGCAGATGACATAAAGCATCTGATTCAGCACCCTGATTTAGTTCCGGTTAGAAGTGAATCGTCATTGATGTGCTGTAGTCAGAACTGCCGCATACCAATATGCAAAAAAAAAAATAAATAACCGCATAAATGAAGCGACACAAAAAAGTTTGAACGTCGTAAATTGTTGGGAAAAAATGAATAAGAATTGCCACGACCTTTACACCAATAGACAAAAAGCAGACATAATCAGTCCCGCAACAAGATTTGAAGCAGCTAGGCAAGAAATCCTGCATAGACTTCGAAGTAAGCTGGATACATCTTTCCATCGTGAGGTGACCAAAGTTACGTAAATCTGGCGACGTATTCATCGCCTACGCTTCAAAGCAATCACCCGCAAGTCACAACCAGCGGCGATCAAATAGGCGCCACAAGCAGACAAACACGTCCACCGTGACGAGTTCTTGTGACGGGCGTGGCGCGTCACACCGGTGCAGTGGCGTCACGGAGCCCTCAGCGTGACCCACATATGACCGCAGAATGCCTGGGGCCATCAACCGGCGTCCCACCACGAGGCGACCGAGCGACCGCTCGACCGCTCCCCACGATATTTTTCACGTGGGTACTGAGTGCGCAACAGCATGGGTGACCGTCGAGGGTGGCAGAGACTGACGCGAAGTCAGAGACAGAGACAGAGACGCTGGCCGGCGAGAGAGAGAGAGAGAGAGAGAGAGAGAGAGAGAGAGAGAGAGAGAGAGAGAGACAGATACAGAGACAGAGACAGACAGAGATACAGAGACAGAGACGCTGGCCGGTGAGAGACAGAGACAGATACAGAGACAGAGACGCTGGGTGGTTAGTGAGCCGGTGCCAGAGACAGAGACGCTGACCGGTGAGGGACAGATACAGAGACAGAGACGCTGGTTGGTTAGTGAGCCGGTGCCAGGTGGTGACAGAAGCGGTGACGACAAGTGTAACGGTGGGTGGCCGCAGTGGGCACCCACGGCGGCACGCTGCTGACGCTAACGGTAGAAACGACCGGCGCCGGTCAGCGGGGATGATGACGCGATGACGCATAGCGCTGTGAGCTGAGGTGATGACGGCAGTGACGCCGAGCGCTAGGAGTGTAGATGATGACGGGACGGTGACGAGCGCGGGGTGTGCAGATGATGACGTGATGATACGGTACGCTGGACAGAACGGAAGGAGAGGTATGACGGAGAGCCGGGAGGCGCCGTCTGCGGTGGTCTGAACAATGAACTGGACACCGGTGGTGCATGTCGGATGATCTTGGAATGGCTGTCGGGAAAAGCCCAGGGCCCGACTGGTGGCTGAGCGTAACAAAGGAATGGTAAATCAGGCAGCTGAGTCTGTCTGACTCTGAGTCAATTCAATCCTTTGACATAGTGATTATCATGCTAAATGCTGACAGTGAATTCCCACCTCCCGAATTGCCATAGGTTTCTTCATATAACAAACCGCGTCATCGGCATATACGCAGCAAGTTTTATTCTGTACAAAGGTAGCGTTGCAATTTTGCAAGCTCCTGCCCAGCAGCAATAACACTGCGGCGGTCCTTACTCAAGGCCGCTCCGATCGTGCTCGACCTTCCGCTCAGCGCCGACCTCCCACGGTATCACTCGGCTCACGGCTGGGTTACTCCGGGCGTCTCTTCAGCACTGCGCCCCCGGCACGTTCCCACAAATCGCGGAAGTGTGCCTGCCTGGCTCCCGAGACGGTATAGCTCCAGGTGCCACCCAAGAGACGTCCATGTCATGTCTCTATCTTTGTCCCGCTGTCACCTGGGTATAACTGCTTCAAGGCACGCCGCTACCAGGCACTGGCGCTCGGTTTACATGGAAAGTGGAAACGTTAGGGAAATTGGCGGTTTAGCTTATGTTTCCACGGGAATCCAGCACCAATACCTGGCAGCGTCGAGAGTGGAAACAGGGCCCTGAGAAATATCCATGTTTGTTTTCCATATAGGCTGGCTCAATGTCTCCACCTCGCTATGCCAACTCGTCCACATTGCTCTCGTGTCCACCGTGGCGAGGTTCCCGGATTTTCCACCGACTGACTACCTCTCGGGTCGGGCCAGGTCAATGCTCTCTGAGCCAGCCGGTAGGTAATCCATCTGCTGCACGACGAAGACAGAACCCGTTCGACGACAGTAACGCTCACCGTGGGGGGTGGGCTCGCAGCCGCGCCATGGATTTAGGGTATTCCAGGCTGGCTCAATGGGGAATGGAGATGCTACGTGAGCCAGAGCTCAGTCGGACGCCGGGTGTTTCAGGCTGGATCAAAGGATGCCACGTGAGCTAGAGCTCAGTTGGATGCTGAATATCCCAACGGTCAGGGGCGCCATGAAACCACCTGACTCTGCTCTCTATAAAAATGTTATAGTGATCTAGAGCTCAGTTCGTGACCAGCAGGATATGAGAAGGAAGACATAAGGTGAGGTAAAATAACCTGGAACAGATGGACGGTAAAGGCGCTTTTGTGACGTTTAAATTGAGCGATGGGTCGCGGTTCCATTGCCGGTTTGATAACCACATCCATTTGCTTTATCGATGACCGGCGTATTATGGTTGATTAGGTGTGATAAAACTGTCATCAATCAAAACACGCCCTAATTAACCAGGTAACCTATACACATCAGCGAGGACTAAAGACTGGTGCGTATAGTTGCTGTATGTGTGTGAATGGGTTAAACATTTTTAATCATAAACGAAAGATTCGAGGATCTCTTCACTTCCATTGTTGGCAACCACCCATACGTTATTATATGTGATAATAGCTCAACCATAAATCAAGAGTAGCTGAGCTGTTGATATGGTCACTTTTTCGGCTTCAATAAGAGCGTCGCTTCCCAATATTGCCTGTCATAAGGCCCCTGTAAACGCCCTCTGGTCATCCTTATCAGACCCTTTCTTTCCGATCGCTAGCTCATTAATCAAACATCAATCAAACTATAGAGCAACGTAATGACTACTGACCTAAAATATGTCCCTGAGATCACTAAAGGCCGGATGTGACTAATGCAAGGGAGCTGTCATTTGCCATTGCAGAATGACGACTCATTACGAGGTTGTAGGCAGCACCATGCATAAAATTGCATCTGAGTCATATGGATCCTTGAGATGCGTTTTGCTTTTCATGTTGACATTGGGCATTGCTAAATGAATTGAACGAATCGCAACGAGGCTTTAATGAACATATACCAGGCACAGTTAATAATGGGATGAGGACATTAATCATTAAATGAATGTGACCGTAGTCATTTTTCTCGATTGAAATTAGGAAGCAAAATAAACGCACCCTAAGCGTTTATTTTGCGTTTACAAAGCGTTTATATAATGAATCGTTTATGTTTAAATGCTCATGTGATGGCTATGTAACAGAGAACGATGAAATAATTTGCTTTAGAGAAGCTAGGACACTTATGAATAATGAGATAAGCTCACTCAACAACTTAATTATGAAGGATTGTACTGGTGCATAATTAAACAAACACAATAACGTGGTGAATGCGAGAACAGCAGGGGATATGCCTCCTACCGATGAAGATTCTGCACACTGAAAAGTGGTTAGCTTTCATTCCTCTGTCCGCAAGTTATCCACATTCTATTGGTTTGAAACAAAGTCGCCTGAAGCGCTGTTTTAAGTTGCTAGTTATCTAAAAGCCATGTCTGGTCTTTGAAGTCTGCAACTACGACCTCACCTGCAGAATGCAGGTCTCTCAGGGATCTCCATAGGAAGTTCTACTCACCTGAATCATATTATCCGAGCGTTGCAAGCCGTGAGGTTTAACTCCTGCCGCTACGGACAGCGTCGAAGTTCTCCTCCGACAACACTCTTAGACCCAGCACCGTCTATCAGGTGCGTCGACTGGCGTGGCTCACTGGACTGGGTCCTCCCTCAGCTCCGCTGTTGTCCGTTGACCCGAGTCTTGATCGCCGTCGGTGTCCCGGTGTTGTGAGGTCGATGCGGTGGACGTGGCTCGGTGTGGCAGGAGCACCGGTCGTCGCGTCCTCCCCAGTCGCGTTCTCACCCCAGACTGCCCGGCCGGCCGACCGTCGCGGCGGCAGGCTCGCCAGACGCGCGCGGCCCGCGCTTTCACGGTAGCCTGACGCTGGGTGAGCTGTAATCGGTTGAAACCTGACACGGAACGGCCTGTCATCGGTTGAGGCCTGACACTGGATGAGCTGACATCGGTTGAAACATGACCCTGGGTGACCTGTCATCGGTTGAGACCTGACACTGGGTGACCTGTCATTGGTTGAAACCTGACACTGGGTGAGCTGTCATCGGCTGAAACCTGACACTGGGTGACCTGTCATCGGCTTAAACCTGACACTGGGTGACCTGTCATTGGTTGAAACCTGACACTGGGTGAGCTGTCATCGGCTGAAACCTGACACTGGGTGACCTGTCATCGGCTTAAACCTGACACTGGGTGAGCTGTCATCGGTTGAAACCTGACACTGTGTGACCTGTCAACGGCTAACCTCACACTGCTGAGTGACCTGTCATCGGTTGAAACCTGACACTGGTGGCCTGTCATCGGTTGAGACCTGACACTAGGTGGCCGTCATCGGATGATACCTGACTGGCTGACCTGTCATCGGTTGAAACCTGACGCTGGGTGGCCTGTCATCGAATGAGACATGACGCCGGTTGACCTGTCAGCGGCCGATACCTGACGCCGGTTGACCGGTCATCGTCTGACATGTCACCATCTGACCTGCCTTAGTCTGGCCTGACGCCAGCTGACCTGTCATCGACTGATATCTGACTCTGACCTGTCATCGGCTAGCCTGTCACAATGACCTATTGCCATCGAAACCTTATAACGTTTAGTGATCTGTCAATGGCTGAGACCTGACGATGTCATCAGCTGACCTGTCATCGGCTGAGACCTGGCGCACCTGGCGCTGGGTGGCCTGTCACCAGCTGAGACATGACGATGACTGATCTGTTAAAGGATAGCCAGCTGACTTTTTACAAAGATCAGCATTTACTTACGTGTACCTACTTTAGAAGACCAAACTTTCTTCCAAACATATGTTTATCTGCAGCTTTACGTTCGTCTATCTTATGCCTATAATAAACATGATAATACAAAAGAACAGCATAAAAGAACAGCGGAGTGGATGCTTGGCTGATTGTGAAACCAGACAGCTTCAGGCGTTCGGATCTACATCAATTCCATTGAAAAGCCACTGCTAGTGTGGCAAATAACTAAACAAATAATCCTACAAAATAACTAAAAAGGTCATCAAGTTACAAACTGCTTTCAATGCCCACATGTTTACAGTAGGTATTCACATATGTGGCAAACGAGGCAAGCATGATTACCCCTAGTTTGGTGTTCAGTCCAGCTAAACCAGAGCCACAAAACAACACCTAATAAGCACAATCATGGACACTATCAGGAAAATTACACTTCTGTGCGATGCATTTCTCAATGCTGATTTGAAATGGTTTCGCAAACTACGCAAAACAAGGTCTTTTGGCGTGAGAGTAAGTAAATTTGTGGTGGGCAGCTATAGAGACCTCGTCCTTGGAAAAGATGACCACTGATCAATTACTTGTGACGCCTAGGGATAGCGCAGCGTGTTGGCCAACGACGACGGAGTAGGACTGCTTTGTTCGGCATGCTTCTAAAGGTCACGGGCTTGGTATTATGCTAAAAATCATGGGCGTAGGAACGGCTGGAACATTGTGGGTGCATGGGTGCAGAAATCCAGCCATGGCCGGTGAAGCGGGGGGGGGGGGGGGTAGGGAGCGACACCCGAGCGAAGGCTCGTTACGAGCTTTGAGTATGTGTTCAATCACATGCTCCATTTCCCTTTTTTCTTCAGCACCAATGTAAGTTTTGAAGACCATCACAAAAGCAAATGCTTCGAAAGTTGGATAGTGGGCAACATATCCTGAATTTGCCGTGCTGCATGGAAAGTAGTGTTGATGAGAAAAGGGGTTTTTGGTTCAGATTATTGTGGGTGCAGAATACATTGTCTGCACCCACTGGAAAAATATTGTGGGTGCAGCTGCACCCTTGCACCCATGGTTCCTACGCTTATGCTAAAAATGGTCATTCAAAGCTCGGAACGAGTCCTATCGCAATGCTTATGAAGGTCAGTCCTAGCTTCCATTTTGTTTTGTACATTAGCCATGAGTTCCAAGTTTGAACTCATAAAGGATTGTAAAGAGTTCCATCGCTCACTACCAGCCTCTCTTCCTCCCTCCTCCTCTTCCTAGTTCCTCCTCCTCCTCTCTCTCTCTCTCTCTTTCTTTATTCTCTCTCTCTCTCTCTCTCTCTCTCTCTCTCTCTCTCTCTCTCTCTCTCTCTCTCTCTCTCTCTCTCTCTCTCTCTCTCTCTCTCTTTCTCTCTCGCTCTCTCTCTTCTTTGACATACTTTATAAATGCATGGGGATGAACTGTTTCAACCCATCACATGACACACTGAGAAAAATCCTGACTCCGCATGACACCCCAAGGGGGAGTTCACCAAAACGACACCCCAAAACTCCCAGGTGGTACTCCTCATTACACCCCCTCCAAAAATCTCCATTACACCCCAAAACTTCCCTCGATAAACTCTCTGTAACCCTCCCTACCGTTTTAGAAAACTCTTCATTACTCTTCTTTACCCTATCAAAACAAACAACATACTCCCTGAAACTCCCTTCCATTACTCTCAATGACTCTCCTATTGCCTCATACTTACTCCTGATTACTCCATTCCATCATTCCCCAAAACTCCGCTTACAGCTTCATGGTATACCTCTAGTTACTCCCCATCAAACTCACCCAAACTTCCCATCACTCCACCCCAGTCCCTCCCCCCCCCCGAAAATAAATATTGGACGAATAGCGTAACCACCCAAAGCTCGTGTACCGAAGCACAGATAAAAATATATATATTTCAAGAAATGTGTATTCATAGTCCGGGGCGGTGGGAGGCTTAAAAAATTGACAAACGCTTTTGACATACCGCCGCGGCACGCTTTCCGGGGATCTCACTCCATATGCTTCACGGTCGCGAGTTTTGATGCTAAAAATCCAAAAGGAGGCCTACCACAGCAGGAATGCTTGGTCTGGTGGTGCTGCTACAACCTCCTGGGCCTCGACGAATACTACGTCTTCTTCGTCCAGCTCTCCTTTCACGATGGTGGGATGGATATTTTGCTGGCCTCCGTTGGCTTCCGACGTGTCTTGCGGGATGCGCTGCGGGCTCTCCAGCTCATCCCCTGCAAAATGTTAATAACCATGAAATTATAGGTACACTTAACATTGCGTGGGAGGAAATGGAGGAGAAAGAAAAAGAGAAGGAGGGAAATGATGAAGGAGGGAGGGAGGGAAGGAGGGGAGGGATGAAGGAAGGAAGGAAGGAAGGGAGGGAGGGAGGGAGGGAGAGAGGGAGAAAGAAAGGAAGAGAGAGGGGAGGGGAAAGAGGGAGTGAGAAAGGAAGCGAGGAAAGATGGAAGGAAGAAATGAGGGAGGAGACTGAGAGGTAGGCAGATGAGACAAGATGGACGAGACGAGACACACGCGACCTGACGTGTTGGCACTGATACTGCATTTCGGCACATGATGTCAAAATAATGAAAGCAAGAGATTGCAAAGTAAGCATATTTTTTATGCACTACAATTTTGATAAAGTTAAGTTTCAGTGAAAGTCTAAAGGGCCAGTTAACAGCCTCCATCTTAGTTGCAGACAGAGTAGGGAAATGCTATAAAACGTAGGTTTTTGAGCGCTCAAAAAGTTGAGCAGGTCGCTAAAAATAAGCTAAGGACGTTATACGCTGCATAGGTACCCATGTTAACATTAAAGAACGAAATTCAATTATGGACACTTTCTAAAAACACAACAATTTAGACAAAATGTATTTAAACATGCTGGTTTGTCGGTGGTTTTCATCATTCATGGGCAGTGGCAGTGGTAGGTACCTATTGATTTTTTATATATAGGGGCTAGGAAAATAAAGGCTTTTATGCCATGCTTTGAATGCCCTTCAAATTTGATATTTTTCATCGATATGGATACCTGTTAAAATAATTGGGCAATAACAATAGGATCCATGACGTGTAATGCTTGTATAATCCTAACTTTCCAATTTATTCCAGGGAAATAATGCGTGACATTTGCCAAAAGTAATACCTAGAAACTCAGAGCATGCTGTTTCCGATCTTTATCTCACTCAGGAACGAAACAAATCAATTACCCTTACAGAGACCATTCCAGCCCATCAATAACATGGGGTTACCATGTGTTCTCATCACAGCATTGTAACACTTTGCACTATAAAAGCATGATGAGAAATACAGCTAAGCTTACCTTTAAATCCAAAGTAGGGTCCAATTATCCGTCTCTGTATAGGTCAGGTCCGTCTAAGTCAACACGCTCTTCACTAACACCTCGCCCGCCGCCCCGCACAACGTGCTGTATACTACGCGCAAAAGATGGCGGCCACCGGCAGCCTCGCGACGTATGCTAAAACCCCTTCGTAACTCCCCTTTTACTCCTGTCGGAACGTTCGGGAAGAGTTTTTCGGGAGTAATGGAGAGTTGTGTCACAGAGTTATGGGGTGTCACACATGGAGTCATTTCGCCATCCATTAAGAACTCTTGAAAACTCTTTCGCAAAATGAGGAAGGCTCGAAGTTACCCTAGAACATACTCAATAACTCTGCTGGAAAGGGTGTTATCAATGGTTTTCAGGAGTTTTCAGGGGAGAATTTTCAAGAGTTTTGACCCGTATGGAGTCAATTTTTTTCTCAGTGCACAACGACAACAAATGAATAAATGCATCTTTCTGTTCCATGAAAAAAAAAATCATTTTACAACTACAGGCTGTGATTAATTTGAAGAGCATGCTGAGTCAAGTTTCCGCCTCTTGAGAGGAACAATAACATTTTTGTGGAACTCTGCACGAGTTTGAGAGCGTGACGGAAAGTTTTTTTTCTCTGAAGTGTTGGTTGTTTCACAGTTGATAATGATCGTCTCGCCTCCGTGATTTGAGCATCCCCAGCCATCTCAAATGTCGCACGACTCGTAATTATTTT